GTTGTCAAGGTCACCTTACTGAGTGACCTTCAGAAAGTTTTAGCCGTCGCTCGTTGTTCGTTAAAAAGTTATGGAGAAAAGAAATTTCGCAAATGCTATGTAGTTCATGATATCATGTACGTTTAGGATGGCCTCACGTGGAAACTTCTTTTCTTTATAACTTTTTAACAAACAACGAGCGATGGCTAAAACCTTCTGAAGATCATTCAGTAAGGTGACCTTGACAACATATGCCAAGGTCAAGGTCATTGGGGCTGGGTCCGTGTTTGTGAAGTTTTACCCTCTTTTCTTTTGGCGATACAGCATTTTTTTTGGTGTCTTGATGGCAGTGCTGCTACATTATGAAATATATTCCACACTAGTTCTATCTACACGAGTGTCCATGGTACAATTACAACGTATAGTTCCAACCAGTCGCAGAAACCCGGAATAAAATATTGACAGAGTCCATCAGTACTGCAGTTTTGAAACTGAATATCGTGTAACATGTGACAGAAATATAAGTGCGAAAGAAAATTTTCTGTACAGATTTTTATTTTACTACGCTAAAACCAACGCGCTTTCGAAAACAAATAATTTAAGCAATTATGAAATAATCGTTAATTATTTAACAATAATGTGTTTTGCATTTAGCACAATAAAAATATTTTAATCTTATACTTCTGTGAAAAGTAATCGTGAAATAGATTTTCTTTTATCCTTAGTCACTTTTATCCTTAGTCACCTTCGAGAGATATAATATAATTTATTTCATAATGCCTAATTTTAAGGAAGCGTTTTACTATATCATGGCGGACATACAATTTCTCATAATAATGGCTGATTTACCATTTTTATCTGAATTTCGACCTGTAAGTCGAATTTCCCTACTGCAAAGGCCAAATACCAAACTTTGAGGGCAGATTTCCTTATTCAGGGCATTTTTACTTTAAACTCGTTGACTTTCGGGTCCTTTTATCGCTCGATAAGGTATTTTGACTAATAAGTCCGAATTTCCTACTTATAAGTTATATTGACTTCAAAGTTGAGAACGCTGGATCGATATGCATATACTATATGTATATCGAGAAACATTTGCGATCCAGCGGCGCTGCGAACGTAAACATTAACAAACATGAGTTCACCGTGTGACGTGGTCGAGTACAGACGTGTTTTATCCTGTACCAAGTTTTTCTCGCAAATTCGCTGGCAAAATGGGAGATCATTTCACAATTGTTGCCATAATTACAAAAAAAGTACTACAACAAAAGTAAAATATTCGTATGTTCCTCATCAGTGGGTGAAAAATGGGTTTGTATTCTGGTCACCTAAAAATTGTCTCACTTTGAGAAACGACCCATCGAGTGCTCCTGAACCCGAATGGAAAAAATTTAAGTGCAAAATAAAAAAAGACTTTATTGTTGGGAAAGAAGAAGCCGAACTGTGGGAAGAGGAGTACTTGAATGCTTCTTGTACTGAATCTGAAGAAAAGTATGTATAACACCATTATCAGTTTTCTCAAATACATTTTTGTTGAATGTTAAGTTTAAATACAAATGGTTTTGTTACAAAAGTAATCTAATATATTAGTGAACTTTTTTGTAGCTTGTCAATTAACCGGCAGCTTATTTCTATCAGAGATACAATCAATTTTTAATTATAAAAGCTATCATAAATTATCGAAATACACATAGGTATCGCTGTTATAGAGGTTTCGTCAAAAGCAAAATCAAAACGTATTCAAAAGAAAAGTCTCCATTTTATGTTTTATTGTACAAACAGCTCTTCGTTGTAAATATTCTAATAAAAATCTTGATAATGCGTCTGTAAATTGTAGCAAATAGAAATCAGTATAATATTTTTGCAAGTATAATAGAATATAATATTTTACAAGTACTTACGAACATAAAACTAATAAATGAGTATACATATGGTCGTTAACAATGACAATGAAATGGCCAAGACAATCGATAAGACCAATATTGATGTATTATTCAACGATGTTGCATCAAACGTAACGTCAAACGTAACGCCAAACTTAACGCCAAATGTAAATGCTGCTTTAACGAATATTGGATCAAACCACATAAATCTATCGTTTCGGAACGAAGGTGGAATTTTGATTCAAGATGATATGTTTGGCAATGATCACGAGACACGGTAGTGTCTCGCGCCAAGTGTAAGCGTAGCTAGTACATGCGTGCGAGACCGACCGTGTAAGTTTACGCGAGTACACGAGTTGACGGGCCCTCAGATTTTCGGATCTCAACAACGGCTGATCCGACGAAATTGAGACTGCGCTTAATCGATAGCTTGGGTACGATTTGCATAATAAAAGTGTTTTTACTTTTCTCCTACGTGCTCCAGGAGTGGAGGTATTGCAATGCAAATGTCAGATTTGTTAAATTTTGGATTAAGAAACGTCTTTGTCGTCGTCTTTGTCGTCGCCTTCGTCCCGGTCGTCGTCGTCGTCGTCGATCAGACCAGCATTTTCACTTGACTTTTCACTTGACCACGTTGCAATTGACCACGGTCCCAATTGACCACGTTGCAATTGACCACGGTCCCAATTGACCACGTTG